ACAGAGGGTGGACTAGAGAAATACAGAATACAACGTGTGGTACCCATACTTAAAACTTGGGCTGTAAAATTCTTCAAAAATAAAGTAGTTTAATCATGAAGTGCTTACATGTCTTCTCCCTACCCACTTCAAAAAAGGGACCTGTCTTTTCTCTATGATTATATATACATATATAAATATATGCATACACAAAATTGGTATGGCCTTACTCCATTTAAGGATATTTTGCTACATGGGTCAGAGTGCAAAGTAACTGCTTCCTTAAAAGCAGCATTTTTCCATCATGAAGAAATAAAACTAACTTACACAGTTTGCATGACCACACAGGAACAGTGGCAGATTATTTTTCTGGCTTGTAAAAAAATTTTAAAACAGAAGTTCTATTTCAGCCATTTGAAGATGGAATGTAAAGTTCCCACTGTTCTATGTATATAAAATATATTTATTGAATCATACATTCATTGCTGATTCCAGTTAAAAAAAAATAGAGATTTTTCTGAAGTTCTCTCCATGGATTTTCAGTGCCAGAGGTTCCACGCTGCAGCCTGTACTGCTGCATTTGTGCTAATGTAACATTTTATGAAAATAAGGCAAAAGACCAGTTTTACTGTTAAGCCTTTTATTCTGAAAAATAATCTCTCACATCTGTGACCTCCTGAGCTCCACCCCACAAAGGAATTCCTACAGCAGCAGCCCTGTAGCACAAAGAGAGCCATAGCACACAGACTTCTGAACTGCTCCTTACTGTTTCAGACGCCTGCAAGGCTAAGAGAGTTGGCCTTCCCTCCCCAGAATTCGAGATCAAGTCCAGGCAGCAGAAGCAATTTTTCCACAAGTGCGATCAAGAGGGGCCGCATCACATCTCTAGGCTGTATAAAACATCTCTAAGTTGCTCTGGTCTTTCACACAGCAGTGACAGGTACCCCAACAAAGTTCTGTTTCTGTTGCCTTTACAATACCAGACACAAATGAACAGCAGTACACCCTATAGAGCCAAGCTATGCCTTTAATTCTCATGCAAGCTGAAACAGGTTCTGGCAAGGAGCTTAGCTGTTTGGGCCTAGGGTCCATATAGGGGAAAGTCCATATAGGGGAAGAAAAAAAAAAAAAGGTATTTCATGTACTATTTTGCAAGCTAGGACACAGCATTATTTATACATAGCCTTAAAATTCTTCAGTAGGTGAACTGACCTTGTTAGAGAGACCCAAAATGGCATTTCAGCATGTTAAAGGACTGCCACTCACACTGACTCGCAAAGATGGACATGATGAAGTAGCTTTCTTTCCACAGTCAGGTGCTTTGTCAAGTTTGAAATATCAGTGGAACAGCAGATCCCACTTGGCTTGGCAAGCAGCATTTTGTGACAGAAAATAGAAGGGCAACATCCTGCCCTTCAAATCTATTCTGAGAACACACCATTACTCTAAAATCTGCTGCCTTTAAGGAATGGTGGAGTTTGAAAGTGTTTTACTCCATCGTTTCACGTCTCATAACCAGGCAAGCTATTAACAAACCCCCTTGCCCCATCTTCCATACAACATGCAAACAAGATTATCAAGACCTTAGGAGAGCAGTTTTTCAGGTTACCAGCCAGGGTAAAAATGGTACTGCTGAGAAACAAAATAATCACTGAGATAATTACTTCCTGCTAAAGCATGCACAACTCAGGGAAACTGCTAGTGTGCCATGTGCTCTTAGCCCCAGGCAGCAGCATGTGAAGAAAAACAATTAAAACCCGCATTTTGGTCAAAAAGATTATGCCCCTCTTGAGAGATGCAGAATCAGCAGCTGCAGAAATCAACTCCACATCTTCATACCTGCACCCAGAGCCACCAAGCAGACTCCCAGGTCTAACGGGTAATCCTCCCATGTGGCACTGCTGCAGAATGTTTCTCATTCAGATTCAAGTCAGAGCTCGCCGTTACCACACAGCATGTGAGCACACAGCCTGCTTCCTACCCCGGGAGTAAATCTTCTCCGCAAAGCCCCATTTCCAACAGCACACTCACCACCTCCACGCTTGCCTGTGTAGGGCTAGTGTACACCCAGGAACACGGGAGCTTCAGCTCTGAGCAAATTCTTCCTCAAAAAAAAGAAGAGGAACCTGTAAAGAGAGCCCTGCAGAGCAAGCGATCCCTGCCTGAATCCTCAACTGTAGAACACACACCTGCAGTCCTGAACACACAAAATTTCAGTTGAATTTTACACAACAGCCCCATGGAAGTCAGCTGGTACTTCAAAGAACTCCAGGAGTAGTTTCTCCCTGCACAAGAAGAGGGAATAGCTAAACCTAGTTAAATGTGCAATGCCCTTAACCAAAGAAAATGCAGCGAAGGCAGCATCACTTCTGGTGGTATGAAATACAACTGTAAATGAAACTGTCTTATTTCTACTACACTGAGTTAGAAGAGGCCAGATCAAACCCGGCCATACAGGAAACCCCTATGCTCTCAGAAAGGCAGAGTGTTAGGGTATAAGGATCATGAAGGTTGCTGTCCATGTGGCTTGTGTGGGTGCAGAAGCTGCCTACGACCGGTCTGGCCAACTTTTCTCCATTTCCTACTCCCTGCAGAGCACTAGGACAGCAAGAGCACTTCAGCGAACAACACCTCATTGTCTCAATTAAAGCACGAGGTGCTAGAAAGGAGACAGTCCCACACATGTGAGGCATCCCTGTAGCATTGTCTTTCCAGTGTTAGACTACCTTGGCTGTTAGAGGTTAGCCTTCTTGTAGCTGTTCTAGTTCACTGCAGCCAGCTGAGGCCAGTTGAATCGCAACTTCTCCACAGTCACCTTCACCATTGAGTGCAAAGCAGTGAAGAACTTAGACAAGAGACACTGAGGATTTAACAGCACAGTCAATGCAGAAACCAGGAGGGCTTGAGGCTACCAGAAAGTTTAAACAAAAAAGCCAATGCGACAACATTTTACAGCAGGTCTTTTCAGTATGCTTTGTTATTAGCTAGTCACAGAACAACCAAAATGCACATACCAAGAATCACTCTACATTTTGTTCAAGATGCTGTCAACATAACTTGGTTTTGAAAGTATTTCTTTACAAGACATTCCGAGAAAATGTTATGTAAATATTTTATTTTGCCTGTCATCTTGGACAAGAACATCACTTTCTGGGTCTTTTATTATTTAACATACTGAGAGTATGATTCATATGAAAACAAGCATACACTTCACCTTATAGGCTTTGAAATTCTTCACTGACATTCCTCAGCTCTTTCTCAAGCCAGACGACAAGCCAGACCTGTCCAATTCCCACTACAGACATGGTGTTTCAGGCTTACAGGTGCATTTGCAGATTTGGTTAAAAGCTATAAAAAGCTTTAGTAATAGCACTTTGATAAGTCTGAAGTGCAACCTGTTACTGCAGTTTTGGATTTAACATGAAGAACAGTAGAAACCCAACAAATGTAAAGAAAAGTCACAAACAACAAGGACAGAGTTCAGTGACAGACTTCCATCGCACACCTTTACCTTATGGTCATTCCTGATACAAAAATGCAGAAAGCTTTTTTAGTTTTTAGAAAAATACCAGTTACCACCACAAGAGGAAGCAGTACGTATTTCCAGTATGCTGGCTGTGAGAGAGCACACCACAGCTATCACTGTCACACCAAGCTCTCCTCCAATTCACTACGGTATTTAAATCTTCAGGAATAGATTGTAAGCAAGTCAATCTGAGAAACATTTGTAAGGCGGGAAGGGACAAATGGCATAACACAACTCTGAAGATTAAGCTAAAATAAAACAGAAACCAAAACTCTACTGACATTTAGTATAACCAGGCTCAACCACTAGGTTTGGCAAGTAAAAGGCAAAAATTACTGTTCTGGAAGAGGTAATACCTATCCGCCCTTTGGGCAAGGGCAGCTTTGCTCTAGCTTTAAAGCAAGGAAACATTAAGGAGATATATACTGCATTACGCACAGTAGTCATGTCAATAAAACAAGAAAACAGAAATAATGAACCCCAACACATACAAGCAAACTCACTAAGCAGCTCTTTCATATTACCAAGAGCTCTGAAGGTCTGGCATAGACTCAGAACTGCATTTTCATCCAGATGTTTAACACCACATATTACAGAAATAAAACTGCTTTGTGCAGATCTCTTTGATAGCAATTACCCAGTTCTGTATTTTATTTTCAGTTTCATCTTCTTTAAGATGCAGTGAAGAGCGTTCAACATGTTTAACACCAGCACAGACAGGCACCTTCTGTACTTCTGACAAAAATGCCATCCATCCACTTCAGGTCTGGCAGAAGCAGGGGATGAAATTAATGCCTAAACTTCAAAAAATTACTCTATTACATACAGTAGTTTGAACTGCAGAGGATGTGACAGAAGTACTTCTGCTTCAGTTCTACTTTTGCAACATTTGTAATGGGGCCTGCCCAGCCTCAAATCAAAGTTATTAAATTCTGCATCCAAAAGTACTTGTTTTCAATTATTTAAATGCAGCCAAACTGACGAACAGAAGGTGTTAGAAACTTCACCCCTACCTAGTAAACCTAGTGACTGAAGGAAGAACTTCTTCCCCTTGGAAAAACTCCAACAAACTCTTGACTTGATAAAGCAAATCTAGACCTTTTTTATTTTTATTTTTTTTTTAAACAATTTGCCAAGACTGGAATGAGAGATAAATAGAAGGCACAACAATTTTGCTTTTTTTATACAAATACAAACTAAACATGAAAAAACCTCCCTATTTCAATAAAAAATTTCACAAGTTCAGGAAAAGTGTTTTAAGAGTCAAGTTCTAGACATTTAAAACCTATCCCACAATCCAAAATTTTAAAGTGGTAAAACAGTAGTTCGAATTCCTTTCCGTGATCATGTATCAAAAGAAAAAAAAATTCTACGGATACCCATTATTCCACTTTTACAGCGCCACAAAGAGAAAGGTAAATGTCAACTTTTCAAGTGGCAATATCTCCGGACCAGAGGATGTTCGTATGACCCTCAAAGGATAAATTGATAGTTTTGTTTTTCTGCCCTTGAAGTACTTGCCAAGTACTATGTTTTCCTACAGGCGGTTGAACACATGCACGCGAAATATTATTCCACTTACTGAAATGCACCAAATTCAGTAGAAAGGGGGGAGAAAAAAAAGAAAAAGAAAAAATAAAGAGACATTCCTTTAGGAAAGACCACTGGTACCAAAAAAATCCAGTCCGTAAGTTTGAGGTGAACAAGAAAATTCAGTTCTTTTCTTTTTAAAATCCACTTTTCCTAAAACGTTGTTCCACAAAGCTGGAATCTGGGACAAGGACTAGAAAAAAATTATCACAAAACCATAACACAAACAAAAAGGGGCCAAAATAGTATCAAACGTAGCAGTCTATAACAGGCTAGGGCCACATTCCAAGATACCCAAGGCTGAAATTCACAAATCTGCAGGTAAGAGGGTTTGCGCCACCATGTCAACATCCGTGATGCATTCACTGGCGTTGCCCGATCCCCCTTCCAGCTCCAAATCCTGGTTTCTGGGACATTCCTCCACGTGGAGGCCCTCGAATCCCACCTCCCAGCCCCCCACGAGTGCCTCCAGGTCCACGTGGTCTGTTATCTCGGCGGTCACCCTCCCTGGCAGCTCGTGTTTTCTTCTCCTCCACATTCAGGCGTACCTCTCCCCTGAACATGATGGGCTGCAACAGAAGAAGAAAAGGGTACTGCCATTAATGACTGACCAGTAACACTTCAGTGTCAAGCAGATTTCTGCAACTTTGGCTCATATCCTCCTCTCCATGAAAGGAAATTAAAGTGTTTTGTAATTGTTTACCAGAAAATGGCAAGTCAAACTATGCATCCAGTCTTGTGCTTTACTGGAAAGATATAAAAAAATACGTGAAAGAGTGACACTTGAAAAGCAGTCTCAGGCTTAACACTGAGCATTCTGACACCTATTAGAAAAGGAATTGAACTATTAACAGTAACCTACTTAACAGGTTACTGTGTGTGGCAATTCAGTCTGCCACCATGCAGAGTCCCAGTTGATTTTCTTATGGCATGAAGAATGTCAGATCCTCTCTGCCACCTTGCTATACGAGCCAGTGAAGTCCTTCACTTAGGTCAAGCTCGATTTTTTTAGAATTGCAGCAACAAGTGGTCACTTGATTGGGAAACCTCACCGAAGCAAGAACAGAGGAACAGGGCTGCAACATCCCACAAACCTCACTGCAGACAAAAAGTTGAAGTCTGCAAGAATCCAAGAACTACAGGAATAAGGACTCACTTGTTTCAAGTTATTCCTGCAGTTGCATAACAAACAACAAAATGAAAAGTGATCCATCATTGGCACAGGCACAATGCTTTCTCATCAAATGGAAAGACCAGCCATTCACTTCTGCTGAACTAACTATAGAACAGATCTAAGGATGAAGTGCATTGCCCTCCTCTAGCCATCAGCTGTGCTGGACAGAACAATCAAACCATCATGTTACAGCCTTATTACTGACTCCAGTGTAAGCTCCCACATTTCACATGGGGCAGCAGACGTCAGGTTTAGCTTCACTGGCTGACAGTCTACCAAAGCCTTTTAAACTCATTTATAGCAAAGCTTATCCTGGAAAGAGTCCTGCTCTTTGAGGACATGTTTGTTTAAAGCACTGGGCCCATTTGCAAAACAATTCACACAGTGGATACTACAAACAGAATTTATTGCTGTACAAAGCAGGGTAGATGTGTTCAACTGCTTTTACAGGACTTAAGTCTACCTATATATAAAAAAATCTTACTTCAGAAAGCCATGCCCATCCATTATAGTTTAAACATTTCCATGGGCTTGCAGAGTGCACCAACTTTGAAAGTTTATTACACATTCAAAGCCTAACTTGGAAGCCAGCATCCACTCTCTTCTCTGGCTCCAGTTACACAGAGTGGCACACTTCAACAAGTAAACAAAGGCCACAAATCCCTCAGCTGAGTGTGTCTTTGGCATTCCCTGGACATGAAGTCTGGCACTTGGCTCTTTGCTATCTCTCCCACCACACAAGAACTTACAAGTGAACACTTTAGTTCGTTTCAGCAAAAACCTCAAACATGCAAATTCAATTCACTGGTGAAGGTGTTCACGTATTGCTTGCAGCTAAGAAATGGCTTAAGGACCCACACCCATTCAGGCCAAAGTCAACCAGATTTACTCAGCCTACTTTTAGCACTAGTTTCAAACCACCTATTTTAGACTTTACCCTAGACCACATTGGAACTGCTCAGCCCACGATAGTAGGAAAGCACTTAAGGAAGCAACATTATCAGCATTCCTATCTTGAATCACCAGCTCCCTGTGAGAGCTTCCAGGGCTGCTGGGCTTCATATGCACTAATTCATCAAGCATTGCCTCAAATGCTGTTGGCATCCCACGGCTAAACATGTTTAACCACATGAAACACCCCAAGCCTAGACCAAATCTCAAGGCTCAAAAAATCTGCATGCAAGCTACCTTTCAGTTTAAGAACATAAATATACTGCTGTACAAGAATGAAATAAAGAAGAAAGGATGTCCCTGTCTGGTGAAAGCTAGGTTGTAAGCAAGCACACCGCACAGCTGTTATGGTGCATCCAGATTCATTGCCTACCACCACACTGTACAGTCATGGGGTGCACATTCTGCATTAGCAATCACTAACAAGCTGAGCAGGTACCTCCTGCCTTTGTTAGCAGAAATACTTTTCAACCAGCACACTAGTAGAGCTTCTCCTTTCAACCTCTTTGACAAACAAGATTCTACTTGTCCACAGGGTCAGACTCTCTCTCCTTTGCCTTCCCGAAAGCTTTTTACTTGCTTCTTGCATAGAGCTCAGCAACTTCCCACTGGAAAAAGGTTCTACGATGAATAAATTCATGTTCACCTAAGTTGTTACAAGCTACATCAATGACAAAAGATTCAACCTGTACAAATGCTGCACAATTCTGGGTAATAGGAGGGAAAAGCATCCCACCTACTTTAAGATGCTTAAGAAAGGGCAAAGGGACCAAGAAAGGGACCTAATAGAATCTCTTCTTAGAGTAATCTGAAAAACATTGCCTGTTATTAACAGACCAAAACCCACTGACTAGAATTTTATTTACCCTGCTGCTAAGGATCTTCTGAACTGGTTCAGGATCATCAAACACCACAAACCCAAAATTGGGGAGCTTTCCACCACTGTTGATGCGGAGTTCAACAACATTGCCATAGCCTGCAAGAGAAAAGCCAAGTTCTTGGGTCATACATTAGAATGCTCTGTTGACCACGTTTATGGCTGCAACCCCCAAACCCTGAGAGTACAGCAAAGCAACTAACTTACTTTGGAAAAAGTCTTTAAGTTCAGTTTTATCCACATCATGGGGAAGGTTCCCAACAAACAGCTGATGACTGTCTGGGTATCTCACAATCCGTCTAGTTTCCACATCACCTTGTTCACCCTCACGAACTTGGAACAGAAAAACAAGACTTGTTCAAGAAAATTCAGTCCTCACAACAAAAAACCCCCAAGCCATGGTAGGAATTAGCACCTTATAAAAGAAATCAGAATTCACACTATTTATCCATTCATATTTATGAAAAGGTAAGCATTCTACACTAGCAAGTTTGTAACTGTGTGCTTTTTACCACCTGAGGCCAAACACTTGAGTAGAAACCTAGATACTTCAACAGAATGCTAGTGAAATTCAGCTCTAAAGCTTACCAGACATTCAGAGATAATCTAAAATAACAGTATCCACAGAAGTAGAAAACATTCACTTACTGAGAAAATTAATGATATTTTAAAAGCTTTAATCATCGCATTGCTTCCCCAAAACCATCAAATAGCAGAAGGCAAGTTTACTCTTTGTAGCTTCTCTTACTTGGTCTAGGACCTCTCTGTGGTGGGATGTTTGTTCGTTGCTCCCTCACTCGCTGATCCCTTTGCGGTCTCTGAGGTGGAGTCTGAGATTCAGGCTTTGCCTCAGGGCGGGGCTGTATAAATTCAAAAAGGAGTTAACAGGAAAGAATCAGACATAACAGTAGAGTTCAGCTTTTAAGAACTCACTATCAAGCTGCTGATAAAGAACTTGAAAGTACAGGAAGAAAGTCAGCTCCTTCCACCTGTGACTAAAATGCATGCTAGCTCATGTTGAACTATATGCTAAAAGCAAACATGTCACTTGACTAAGTTAGAATTTCAGAAGTCACCCCATTCACACAATAAAGCATGCCTGCTCGAAGTGCAGCAGCAGTTATGCAGCTAGATTGTATTATATCAATTCATTCATGACAAAGCCTCATTTCTAATTTTTTTACCACTGCCCATTCAGAAAAGTTGCCTCTTGTGTTAAGAGGGTACAATCATTTTAGATGGCAGATACATCCAGCACTCAAATGAACATTCTCTGGTTTTCCTCCATAAGAAACAATTCCTTTTCAACCCAAAAGCTAAGGAATAACATTTTTATGAAGTCTATCATAAAACATTGAATTTGAAAGTCTTCGAGTATGAGAACTCAGATCATAAGCAAGTAGATTTCATCATGGTTTTCCCCATCTCAGTTTACTGTCAGTCAGTTTATTCCTACCTGTGAGACTGGTACTTTCACAACATGGGGTGGTATTCCTGATACGGGAACAGCTCCACTGGGAGGGAGGTTCTTACTGGTTACTGACGCCCAGGAAAACGTCTAAAAAAAAATATTGTAATTCAACTCCAGATGCTTTTAGCCTTCCGAAACATATCCCTGATAGTACAGCCAACAGACATAGGATAACAGTAACAAATTTTAACCTGTACTTGAAATTCTGCATCCAGCCACTAGCAGTTTCCCCACAACTTCCTTCAAATCATTTCAATTCAAAAGACCTAGTGCAATGGCAATGGAGTCACACTTCCACCCTATTTCTCAATTCTACGTAAAGTTGAAATAGGATACAGCAGTGGCCTAAGACCAAGTATAACATCAAGGTTAAACAAAGCACTGGGTTTCAAAGTACCCATTTGTCCACTTTTTCCTCCCTTAACACTGAAGAGTGACAAAACCCCCCAGGTAGAAATAAAGTGGCATTTCACCCATTTTCCTGATTCAGCATGTTGGCTGCAGTCTGTTCAGAACTTCCAAAGCTCTGTTTAACAAAAAGAATCTGAGCCTCTCACTGCTGCCACAGTTCCTACACCTATCAAATATACAAAGCCTTACCTTAGCTCCTGGTATTTTAACCAACTGGTTTCTAGCTAGAATTTCAACTACAGGAACAGTATGGGACAACTACAGTTGTGCAGGAACTAAATGGGAAGGAGGCAACTGGTCATGAGAAGACCAATTTGGGCAGGGGAGGAAAAGTTACAAAGCATTTAAACACTTCCAATTCTGGATATTTTTCCCTCTTGCCAGAGAGGATCATGCTCTGTAAAACAGAGAGAGTCAAACATATTGATGAAACCACCAGATCATAGAAAGAGACATCCACTGTCATTACCCTGGAGTCCTCTTGCACAGCTGGAGCTGGATCAGCAGGAGCTGGAGAAGGACTCTTTTCCACAGTCTCTTCTGGAGCAGACTCCTCTAATACCGGCTCAGATTTTTCTTCCTGCACTTCTGGTTCAGGTTCCTGTTCAGGTTCTGGCTCTGGCTCAGGTTCTGCCTCTGCAGTTGTCTCTTCCAGGTGTTCCTCAATGTCATTGCTATTAGCACCACAAAAAACAAGAAAAAGAGGGATCCAAGTTTCACATTGTTACACTACAGAGCAGCAAAAGCATTACATCTGCTGAAAATCTGGAGTCCCTGTGTTGAGCCTAACAGCACCTTGGTTTCAGCTGCCCAATAAACAGAAATCTTGTGACTGTCAAAGAGGAAAATCATGAGTAGCAATAAGTTCATTTGACCTGTTCTACAGGCAGTCTCTATCACACAACATCTGACTTCATCTAATAAGATAGTATACCTGACAGCTTGCTCATAATAAGCACCAGTATCATCAGGAACAGCCTCAGGTGTCTGCTGTCTTTCTTCAGGTTCCTCCCCTTCCTCTTCTGATTCTAAATGAAGTTAGAAAAGGAAAAAATATACCACACACATCTTTAGTACTCTGTTGCAACACAAGGCATCTTCTACAACATGCAGGTGAAGTCTCTGCTAAAGAGCACATGGGAAGCACTATCAAGATGTGACATGGAACAGCCATTTCCTTGTACTTCTGCTATCACTTTGGTTACTCGGTTTTGACCAAGGTCATACAACATGTTCCAAATACTCAGAGAAGCAGATTTATAGACTACAAAACTGACTATGACCACTAAAATAAGTCTTACAGTTCTTTTAATAGAAACAGAATATGCCAGAAAAATGACAATCATCTGCATGTCACAACTCCTTGCTGCAGTGCAAGGAAGCTACAGGCAAGGAAAAAAAACTTAGAAGAACATGGAGAGCTTAATGCTGATCTGCCTTCTCCAGCAAGATTTCCTCTAAGTCTGGGAATGGAGTGTTGACACAGACCCAGAAATAAATACCAGTAGAAACCATCCAAAAATTCCCGCTACTTACCCTCTGGAGGCTCAGTGTCAGAGTCACCAAAAACCTCATCTTGGTAGCGGAAGATGTCATTGTGGACATAAAACTTGTTTGCAACAGAACCCTAGGAGCAAATTAAAGGGAGGAACAGTTTTAATTACATCAACTGCAGTAATGTAAAAACTGAAATAATGAGAAAATGAGAACAAATAGAGCACATCATCCTTCCCACCTAAAACTAATCCAAACATGCCTCCCTTGCAAAATGTGTGTTATTTGGAGTGGGCGGGGGAAGACGCATCATACTAGCAAGTCAAGCATGCATAGAAAGATGGGAAAAAATCATATTAGGGCTTTTAATTCCAATAGCTCACAACACTGAAAAACTAGGAGCAAGAACCTTCTGGGGTCTTAAGTATCAACTCTCAGCTCGAAGTCAAACTGTAAAATAAAGTGATCTTGCAATACTCCTTTCTTCACTACCATTTTCAATTATGTGAACTGTTTTGTTCAAGACGAAGTGTCTATTTAAGAAGCCACCTCAAATGTTAAGCCAATGCTTTATGCAACAAGAAAGTCTGGACTCCACGTCTTCAAACGACAGGAAGCATTTTCCTTTCTACTAGTTCCTTTCCGTAAGGGGAACAGTTGCTAGGAGGGCAAATCAAAGGGAACTTTAAAATGCTTAAGAAAAGAAGTATGCATTGCACATACCTAGTAGCCAAAAGTTAGGGTATTTACAACTGTAATTAGGATATCCAAGATTAATATATGGCCATACAGAAGTAGTGTAGTTTCCTAAGGAATGTGCAGAACGTTGCTGCTGAATTTTCTGGCAAACTACCTTCCCAGTCTAGCCTTTCAGATTCCAACACATGAACCAGACAGGCCTCATTAATCCTGACATGGTATCAGAAGCTCTGTAATAACACTAACTCTCAACACAGCATACCTCAGGTGCAAGTACAAATGTTTGCATGAATCTGCGCACGGGCTGCATGTTGTTGGAGAGCTCTCCCATCACCTGGACTACAACACCATCATTGAGCGTCGCATGGGCATCCACATGACGAATCTTTGTGTGGCAATCCTTGAAGTTTAATGACAGCACCTTCTTGTGGATATCCTATGAAAGAACAGTCTACAGGTTACACTGCAGAAGCAATTTCTGCTAAGTTGGCTTTCAAAGAAAGCAAAACTGTAGAACACTGTTTCAAAGCGTATTTCCCTAACTCTAGAAAGTTTGGCAGCACGCTCTTTAAGTTCGGTCTGCAAGCAGTTTTACACAATGAACTTTAATAATGGAAGCTTATTTTGCATAGGTATTGACGTTTACAGTTGCAGTTTTCTCTCTTCCCCCCCCCCCCCTTTTTTTTTTTTTAAACAGAAAGCACTTGGACAAAGGGGGGTGAATCACAGCTGGAAACGTGTCTCTTCTCAACCACAAAAAGTGACAAGAAAGAAGGAAAGAACAGTAAGGTTTTTTTAAGTACTTACAGATTGCCCATAGACTGCGTCAGCTGGTTTTCCATTGGAATCCAAGCCGCCATGGACATAGGAAGAGTTCTTACCATAAAACCTGTTGGAAAGAAATATTTTAACACTAAGCTTTGTTATGCAAGAACATTGAGCCTCTATGTTGGAGTGCACCACGAATAATATACTCTCAAGCAAATCTTCTGCCCGAATTACTGGAATACAGCCATACAATTCCATAATCCTGCTAGTGATTTGGGGCCAGGGGTGTTGGTGGCGATCAAAGGGGAAAATGCAAAGTCCTCCTGTGTAAGATGCAGCTTTCAGATATGTCAGATACCCAAGCACTAACAGCGAAAATCAAAGACACATAGGAGCTAGATGATCCAGTCCCATTCTCCCCTTTCTGTACAGGGTCCCTAAAGCAACACAGTACCCTGAACACCCAGGAAGCTGAAGGCTTCCCCTCAAGTTATAGTTTAAGGCTTGAGCAAGAAGCAATGGTACTTTTTTGTTCACCTACAGTAAAGAAAGTACTGCAGGTAAATCTTCCATTTTGTAACTGAGGGACTACAAGCTCAAGTGTCATAAACATCATGGGACTGCATTCTGCCAGCAGATGAAAGACTAGAACCGAATTCCATGGTACATTGTAAACTTTCCTCTGACCTAAATAGACGAGGTCAGCTGTCCACTGAAGTGCAGAAATACTCTGAATAAGTGCTCCTCAGATTGGAAGAAGGAAGGTTTCAGAAATTGCTTGTCTAGCTACTCACAGCAAAACAAAGCATATCTGCTAGAACTAACCTGATTTTTGAAAAGTAGGATACCTGACAAATCAGACAGGACAAACTTGTTTAGATAACAGATTTCAGTTTGCTGCACATTCATAATTTCTCCAATTTTCCTTTAAGAAAGAGCTGCTGGTATGACTGAGACATACCTACTTTTCACACTATTTTCAATGTTTTTTCCTCTAGTCAGGGGGCATTTTATCAAGACAAAACTACAAAACTGCTTAAACAAACATTTACCCAGCTTTCATTCATATTGATTACAAGCAGAAGTAGCAAGCAACACACTTCTGATTTACTTTTTTCTTCTTTTTTGCTTAGAATACACGTATAGCGGCATTTCAGTAACAACCAGAACACAGATATTTAAAGAACTCCTGTAATCTTTATTAACCATGTTTTAACTCAGATGATCAAAAATGAAAGCAAACTACACCCAGAGTCTGTCTTGGACATTTAAAAATCTGATTTACTGAAGTTCAACAAGCCAAAACATGATAATAAGCTTATTCACCAATTTTAACATACAAATTAAGAAATTCACACAGAAAAACGGATCAAAGTGAAGTGGAGCTTTACCTGTGAAAATGAGGTTGTTGTTGCAGCAGAGTATAGTACTGCCTCACAAATTCCCGCCCGACCAGCAGGGGACTTGGCTTCTCCATCACCATTTCTTTGGTCAACTGAAAACTGAAAAAAATCAAAAGCTCCATAAAAACACAAGCATTTCACATGCCAATAGCATAAGCCACACAAACACAGCAGAAAGCACACACCAAAACCCCTTGTAGTTTTACCACAGTAAGCAGTTTAAGTGCTATGTTTCAGAGTCATCAGTCTTTGGTGCTGAGGAGAGGACTGCTGGGTACTAAACCAGCGGTGGGAGAGGCTGCATGGGTGAGGGAGATTCCCTCATAACATGCCAGCATTTAATCATCCTACATACCCTCAGTAAAAAGCAGGTGGCAAGCAAATATGGTTCTTCAAGAGGATCTGCTAAGTGGCTAAGTAATTTACAGTCGATCCAAGTTCTACTTACCTCACTTGACTTCACAATCAGAATTAAAAGTCAGATGTTCTAAGGCAAAGCCTGTGCTACTGTATTAAGGGCATTTTTAAAAGATCAGAACAAGCCCAATCTATTTTTATCAGCAGCACAGCACTCCTTGCTTATGAGTAACAAGCACTAGAGAGGAATATCGGATTATATTAAAATTACTACGCTACAAACAAATGCTTGTTGCTCTTCCCTTGCTTCCACCAAACTCAGCAAGTCACCTCTCACTTAAGACCTGAAGACCAGTTAAAGGAACTGTACCACCCATACCTGGGCCCAGGGACAAATCAATCTAGGTACCTTCTACCTAATTTCCATGGATCTATAAGTTATAAAAAGAAAGGCTATTCAGGTGGATTACACAATATGTATATCTTCAGTCCAGGTCAGTCAAAACCAAAGCACATTGCTATGTTCCCTTCCTTTCAAATACTCACACACACTGTTCAAACTCATGCAAAATAGGTTCAAACTGGTAGGGAAAACACATCAATACCAAAGCATATTTCTTGCTACCTAATACAGAAATAAAAGTAGATTTTCTGTTTCATACTCAATTATACCAACAGCTAGCAGAACGGATGCTTAGCAGATAGTCTGATACATCAACAGCAAAACTATGTATGATAGCTAGTTTTCCTGCAACTATTCGTACTAAGCCTTGTTCCAGTTCATTCAAGGATCTTGTTTAAGACTTTCATTACATTTGTTGAATTTCAGAGTAGTCATCCTTTAAATGGTAAGAACCAACACCAGACTAGAGCTTCACAAGACAGAGGTGACCTACCAGGTTAGTGTTATTACAGTGACAGTTTCAAATGCACACCATATGTAGGCCTGCAAAGGAAGCTACAACCACACTGCTGGATGTACCAAGAATGCAAAACAGAAGCTTCAAACCCCAAAGAAAAGCACGTCCAAAAAGGACAACATGGAAGCTAGTATTTTGGATAAAGCTAAGTCCGAATCAACCTGGCAAATTCCTTATATCTAAAACTGTGGTTAACACCCAACACACTGTAATCAAAAGACACAAGGCAATGTTTATCTATACTAGTAGAACATACAGATAATATATTTGAGGATGCGATCACACCCAAACTCCCAGCAATGATCAGCATCCAGCTTAGTCAGAGATACAGTACACAGATTCCTACCCTGGGAGGTATGCAGTTTAAGGTTCAAAACAGAAAATATAACTACAATGCTATTAATTTAGTCAGAGATACAGTACACAGATTCAAAACAGAAAATATAACTACAATGCTATTAATATGACAACAAAAATTGCTATAGTTTTGCATATTTTGATACAATTTGCTCTGCTTTTAATACAAGCACAAACACACTTTTTCACTTTGTAAATTTAAAAAAATAAATGCAAAATCTATTTTTATATGCACTTTTTCTAAGTTTAAATACACAGGAGAAAGATCTGACAGGCTTCAGAGGATGCATACACATCAGTACCTGCTCTTCCAGTAGGAAGTGTATCACCACCGCACAACAAAATGTTACTTACATGATAATATGCGGAAAGGATAAGACCAAACACGACTTAGAATTGAAAAAGGCTTTTCAATATATTCAGAAGCTTTCAGCTGTCTGAGACTATTTTCAAGAGCTAACCATGAAGAAAGTGATACTCCATGGTTGGGTCTGGCCCGCAGAAAGTGCTCAGATTCTGCAGACTGCTTTCGTTTTAGGAAGTTCCTAGTATCTGTGGTTTTGAAGCTGCCTTTGAATTGTAAGCATAATGTATTACAGCTACAGATGTCCAAGGCCAAGCACAGCCTGAAGTGACAAAACCCTCAAAGATATGAACTTGTTTGCCTTCTAGTGCACATTAAATTAGATCCCCACAAAATATTATCAGACGATAACAAAAACCACCACAGGTAAAGTAAGGCTAAATTGTGGGTACCACTGCTGATTTCCTCATTTAACTTCGTTTGCTGTCAAGCCCTTGTGAACCTCATTATTACAAGTGGCAGGACAACCTTGAAGAGTGGGAGTAGACAAGACCTACTTTTAGATCCAGTTGGCTTAACTGACAATGCAAGACTTAATTGCTCCACAACAGTTAGAAAACTTGCCTCTGTGCTGCGAGTTTACAGTTAGAAAGCCAGTCCTACCATATCCCCCAAGATCACTGTTTGGAGTATGACAAGAGCTCTGTATAAAAAGCAGATGTTGCTTGTTCACTCCTCTTTTTCTGTTTTGGGGGGCGGGAAGAGTGGGGAAGGTACAGGGGGTGCATTTAATTTTTTTGTAAATACTAGTTTCCACTCAAATTCCAGCTTATGCCTATAGATGTCAACAGGCAGGTTTTCTACTCAATGCTGTTAAATGCCAGATCAGGCTCTCTTAAGAATTATTTTCAATTGCTTATAGAATATCAACATACAAAGCTTGACATTCTCACATAATGGTAAACCGTTACCTGTAGCACTTAGATCTCAACAGCTCATGCAGCAAGAGCTCTTTCAGATTCCTCTCCTTCAGTGAAAGAGTCCTCACCTGTATTAACCCACTAGCACATCATCTTCAGTGCTGTTCTGAGTGGTCCCAATGCTGTACTGAAGACCTGCTGAAAGTGGCTTGTGCTGATTATGTTCTGTCATATTTATGTGCTAAAAATCAAAAGATTTCCCCACTACTAAAGGTGGAAAATCTATCAGAAATCACTTTTGCCATGGAAAGTCAAATAGCAGAATGCCTAGTTCTCATTAAGCAGATCTGAAATGGGAAAAACCTTTACATGACCTAATCAGAGGACAACAACAATCTGGTTTTACTCCTGCTGCACCTGCTGCTACACTGCCAGTTGCCATCTGTTCTTGTTCTCCAGCCAGCGCAACCTGAATGATCGAAGCCAAGCATCTCCAGAGAGAATATTTGCTCCCTAATGCTCACGAGCAATTCATTACTCCACTATTCCTTGACCTAAGAATAACTGCAAATATTTTATACTGCATTTCTACTGCACAAAGCATAATAGTACCAAATGCTTGAGCTGTCACTACATCACTCCTGATAGCAGCTTATCCACACATTTTCATGTCAATTGCGATAATGAGAAAAGGGTGAAAATTGACAGGAAAAGCTGAAAAACAGACAATTTAAGATTCATTCATAAACATGCATTCATATTACTCCATATATGTAAAACATATTGGGTAATTCGAATTATAACAAATATACTAGAACAATTCTGAGCCCTTTCCTTAAGCCAAGAGACTTACAGGAAGACAAATACCTCCTTTACAGTGGTTATCACCTGGCTGGTGGAAAATTCCGCCATCTGTTACAATGCGCCTACTTGGCAGAAAAATCAATGCTAGGCACTGAATTTCTAAAGTACAGTTATGTAAATTAGAACCATTTATGTAAATTCTGTATTAGCAAATTCAGATTTAGGTCCACAAAACCTATTAGCATATTAGTATTCAGAAAAATAATAGACTCAAAGAACACCTAACAGCTAGCACTGGTTAGCATTTTCTCACCAAATCGCTACACTATGAAAGTGAACTAACCCTTGCCATCTCAACTCAATATTTTTTTAATTTTTAAATCAGACAAGGAGTTTAGTCTGAATCTTGTTTCTACTAGACTTCTTACACAACAAAAATATCTTATGTACATCATGCAGTGTTCAGCTCTCAGGACAACCAGTGACTACAGAACCCTTAGCCTGATCTAAAAAGCCAGAGGACCAGACTCCATTGAAATAAGACATGCAAGTCAGAAAGTTCCAAACTTTACTTCCCAAAGTGCATGGAAATTTTAAAAAATCTTCTCTTTCAAGAAAACCATCAGTACTAACAGAAAGACAAGCTAAAATTTACATTGAAGCATATTCTAAACAGGCCACCATTTGTTTTTAACATTATCCTTATGCCTTTGTTCCCTGCCATCTTCATTTCCATGTTTTTGACTTGCATTTCAGTACAAGAAACAGTCTCAAAAAATCCGAAGTTACTACAAAGCACTACAGTTCTGTTTGATTGGCATATTACACAGCCAATGCAGGGAACAACCTTATAGCACATGAACAGCCAAAAGAAAGCATGAACTGCTATGAGGTAACTCATTTGATCCTACATTCCTGCCCATCCCTACAAGGCAGTAGAGTTTACAGAGTACCAAAACAGTCACATTGCCCCCCCCTTTTAATTACAGACTTAACTGGCTAAGATATCCTCAGAGCTGTTACACCATTTCCAACAACCTAATCAGCTTCTATGAAATATAATTCACATCTTTCATTTCTACAACTTGACCTCTAACTATATAAAAGCAGCTCTGACAGTATGAATGATGGGTTACCCAGATGAAGACATTTTTCCTTTAGACCAGAATGCCAAACTTTTCATGCAACTCTACTCCATCATTTTATTATCAATTAAAATTCCTTAACATAAAAAGACTTTTTGAAAACTTAAGAAACACCCTGAGAATCTCACATGGAAAAACATCTCTGTATCTAAGCACATCACACTACAAAGCCAGCAAACAGCAATTTTGCTAGACATTAAAGGTCTGGTCAATAGTTAATAGGATTGTGTAATTAAGTGTCATTTGGGATTTCTCCAAGTTGCTTAGCAACAGGTGAGCATTTTCAAAGCCACAAACCATTTATCTGTGTCAGGGTAACCAGCACTAGAAGCAGTTACTACTGCTGTTTTGGACAAGAAGAAAAAAATACTCAGTACAAATGAAATCATGAAGAAAACTCCTAATATGCCTACAACAGGCATGATACAGATTAAAAGTTAAACAACAAAAGCAAAACAGTTCTAGTTAATTCCAACTCTCCATACATTTTACATGACCAGCATCTGCTAGTGCTGCTGACTGAGCAAAAAAAAAAAAAAAAAAAAAAAGAAGCTGGTACCTGTGTGAACTATGATACAAAACATTACAGAGTGAACAATGAAACACAAACAAGCTAAAGTTGCATCACTAGGCAAATTCCAGTGCCTATCTCAACTGGGGCTTTATATCGTTACACCAGCTTGCTCTCCAAGTAGGAAGAGTAATGTAAACCTTTTCAAAGAAATGCATATTTAAAACACTACAAGATACCAGATATGGTGAGATGTGAGATACCCTTCTTATTTTAACATAGCCTGAACTATCTGAGGGGGTCAAAAAAAATACCAAAACCCAGTTGTTGACACCAAGCCTAAATTATGAAGTGCTGAAAAAGCACCTCAAATAGATGAGCAACTGGAGTCTCAAAACACTAATGTCCTTTAAAAAAAACAGGTCTCATTAATTGCCTCCCACTGGATGCAGAAGTAGACAAGGTCACAGGAAACACTATCACAGCAACACAGCTTATATTTTATACAGAAGCCATTACAGACAGTTGCCTGCCTGCAACCAATTCACCTTTTCTGTATTTTGACAGATTCAGAGGGGAAGTATTCTGTTTGAAAGAAGTTATCTTCTAATAGCGCTATCTTACAGGAGGCAAAAAAACACTTGGAAGCCAGAGCCTGAAAGCTGGGTGATGGGATAACTTATGCAATGAACAATAAAATATTTGAAGATCAAATTGGAACTAGTTGTGAGGTTACCAGCATTCAAATTCTGCTAGTATCTTCTGGAAACATTAAGATGGTCCAGAAGATACACGTATTCACCAGGAACTTCCAGAAGCAGGCACTCCCCAACCAAGATCAGAGCAGTGTGAAGTGCTAGATACATCATGCAGACAGAGCAGCCTTTATTAATAATCTTTAAAACCAGCACCTAGTAAGTTTGAGGAACCAGATCCACATTTTAACACACCATTACTCATTCACTACAGCAACCAGTGCCTACTGGATGAGAACCACACAACCTACAAAGACAGGCAGTGCCTATGTTTATAGGGTACTTGAGGTGTTACAAGGAGCTGGATCCTAAAAGAATAATTATGCGGCAACCAGAATGCTGCATCCTTGGGCAAACAGCTTTCTCTGTGCTTAATTATCCTGATGCTGCAGAAAGGCTTTGCAATACCTGAACCCATTTCTGAAGCTCTTTGAGACATACTGATGAGGGAACACTACAGAAAGGCTAGACATTACACCAACATATGGATTACAAAAGTCAAATTAGAAACTTAACTAATTTCTAATTGAAGTATCTGAGCAATCAATCCAAATTTAAGCACC